TATTTCCACTGGTTTTATCTGCAGAATGAGTCTTTTTTCATATTCCCAGGAAATGGTGCACAAAACGTTTATCTGTAGTGAACGGCGCTTACGCTTTATATACATAATTGAAGAACAGATGTAGGTCGGGGCTCAATAAAGTTACATGTGAATGTTCCAGGCTACGGTTTGCGCGGTTCTTAATGCTACTTTAACAGTGGCTAACATGTGCGAAACCGTCCTTGGTCATTGGGTTGGGAAACTTGAACAGCTGCACAATAACTACCTGATATTTGAAGTTGTGTTTGGTCCCAGTACAGATGCTCTCTGCAGTCCTCAGTGGCGCCAACGGTCTCGCCTTAACCACTCTATACGGACCCCTTCCGTGGTCCGACGACAGACTACAGTTCTCCAGTATTGCTTCTTTTTGCCTTTAACGCGCGTGTGTCGTTTCGCTCTTGGGGAAGGATGTAGCACGTGCGTTTATATCGTGACCGCAAGCCAGAACACAGGGGTTGTATTTAAATATACAAGGACGTCAGCAAAATTGTTCAAAGCGATTGGTCGCACATTTAAAAAAGATGAAATCGGCTTATGTTCTGCTCCAAACGCCCAGGAATAAATTATCTCCTTCAACTATTACTGAATGTTAACTTTGCAGGTTCGTATGGAGAATTCACGTGACGCCCACACAGGATGCAGGAGTTGTACTACTGCCGGTGGGGTGAAGACCTCGGGGACTAAGAATGGCCTGGTAGACGGTAATCCCCCGGAGTGACAGATGCCAACGAACAAGGGTGATGCTTCTGGTCATCCGACTGAGTGACTCGTAAACTCAGAATGCGGGATGGGGTGCGAAAGAACAACCAGAGCGATTTTTGTTGATGGGGTAGGGCCTTTTTGTGGCATTCACTTATCGTTTACAACGGCTTAGTGAGCGGTAGACGAAAAACTGCTGCATGGGAGCATTCTGGACAACGGTTGCTTGGTGTTTGCCATGTCGCTGAGAAAGCACCTTTCGATATTAAGTGAAAGAGGTTAGCGATTGAATGGTCACATCTGTTGTCGGGATTTTCGAATGTAATCCGGAGCATGCTGGCCGTAGGCTGAAACTTTCAGACAAGATGAAACATTCCGCACTCTGCCCACTCTCAACATGTAAGGCTTCTGCGAGGGGGGAGAAAGGAACTGACGTGCGTTTCTCCCAACGGAAGGAAAGGCTCCACATAAAAGTAACACCAAGGGATGCTCTTTTTTTCTTTCTCCCTTTCCGCATATAAATTCCGGTGGCGGACTCACTCATGCGTGCACCGCATGGGCTTAGTTTTTTTTCACATTTGGTCGGATTGTGCACTTTAGGGCTGACTGATGTAGGTAATGTCACAACAACGAAATGCACAGGAAACCCCTGGTTTCTGACACAGGTGCCTGAATGGCACGTGTCTAGGACAAAGCTAAGAACTCGAGTAGCAGCGTGAGAACTTCATGAAATAAGCAACGAAGCAGAAATTAGTTGACCATATGTGACAGACTTTATGGGGCAGGTTTCATTTTCTGAGAAATGGCATAAAGTGCATGCCTCTAAGACGCTCACGATGCAAACTATAGGCCAGAGGTCTTAAACTTCGGTGAGCTGCATCGTTAAGTCGTGGGAGAGAAGGAAGGCTAGGGGTACGGAGATCAACGAAGCAGGGAACTTACTTTTGTGATGGCAAGACATGCTGGGTAAATCATTCAGGATGTCCGACCAGAGACGCTGAAATGGTTCAAATCTCGCTACTATGTGTAGCATCCGAATGAGATCTCGACCGAGT